CTCTCTCCTGTACACAATACAACTTCTCTAAACCAGGTGAAGAGATGAGGCAGAAAAAGATTTTCCTTCTTCCTGGACTTTAAAATGCTTTCCCAAGAACCCCAGAGGCAAAAAGGAAGTCAGTCAGAAGGGCTGGCAGGTGTTACTGGGAGGTGGAAGGGGGTGAATCAGGAGATGCAAACCAGATGGAGGTACCAGCCCCTCACACAGCCTGAGAGCTCTCCATTCCCAGAGAGGTGTGGACAGGACCCCTGGAAGACAAGCCTTGCTCTGGCTTCCCTGGTTGGGCTGAGTGGGGAGGGAGGGGCCGACAACGTCCTGCTGCCGGTGTCCCCAGCTCCTGTTGAGCAGGTTTCTCCTCCAGGATCTAAGCTATTTGTTGACTCTGGGGGTTTGCCCTCAGACAAGAGAAAGGCATTCTCCCTCTATCAGCCACCTGGCATCTGGCATGAGCCAAGGACCTGGTGGGACCATGAGAAAATATGGGTTGCAGAGAGAAGCCTAGTGAACAGGGTACAGTTTATTTTATGGATGACAGTGGCAGCCTTACTGAACTGTGACAACAGTGCAATTAGCATTCAGCCTTTCTTTGAATATCATATACGTAAGACCCAATCACAGACCTTCAAGAGTCTAGATGAGAAAACTTAGGTCTGAATTTGAGTCCCGGATCTTCTCTTCCACTATGTGACCTTGTCCAAGGTGTTTAATATGTCTCAGCCTCAGTGTCCTCATTTGTAACACAGAGTTAACGATAAGACCTTTCAAGCCTACCTGGCAGAGTTGTTATGAACACCCTAGAATTTGCTGGGGATTGAAATCCAACTCAGCTATCTGTCGTGTCCAAAATCCACTTTCTTTCCTCCCATTGTGAAATTCACATGTCCAGTTTTCTGGTCCCACAGCTGCTATCCACAGAGCCTCAAACTCCCTGGCAGTGCTTCTTCTACACCACCTGCAAGCTCTTTTGGCATCCTCAGGTGTAACTCAGAGGGCCTGGATGCCCTCTTTTAACTATATTCTCCAGACATCTGTTGATCACCAAACTGTGCCCAGTGCTGATATACAATGGGGAGCAAGATGGCTCTGGACAGGCAGAAAATCAAGTCAAATTCCCACACTAATAAGCAGATCATTACAAAGAGCCAACCATGCTAGGAAAGAACTGTACAGGGTGGTCCAAGACTCAGGGTGGCACAAGGGGGCGGGTGGTTATGACCTGATCAGGGAGACCAGGATAAGCCTTTCTGAGAAAGTGATGCTGCAGCTGAAATTGGGGTGGGAAGGTTAATAGAGAAAACTGTGTCAGTGGCAGAAAGGGTCATAACCAAGTATGAGAGGCTGAACGCAATTCAGTAGTGAAAGCAGAGGATGAGAGGCTCACTGCAGGTGAGGCGTGGGCTAATGGCTGCAGAAAACCATGAGGGCCAAGGTAAGAGCTTAGTATTTACCCAAGTAGCAACTGAGACACTTCTGAAGGTTTTGTGCACGGCGTTAATCTGGAGAAAGTACTGGAGGCCATCTAGACTCGTTGTGCAGAAACTTGAAGGAGCCTGGGCTGTGGTAGTGGTAAAGGGAGGGGGCGGTTCAAAAGGATTTGAGAAATATTAACAAGCCCTGCCTCCATGACTTGCCAATCTGATTGATTAGATCATAGAACATTTATCGGGCCACACCCAGCAGTGAGTGAGGTCATTTTCCATTAACAGGTCACACATGTGGACCTGGTTCTTTGTTCCTATGCAATTGGGGTGAGGAAAGGGCTGGGACCCACTTGCTCATTGATGAAATCCTGGCTGTCCTGTTTCTTACTCTTCTCATGTATTGAGATGTTCTCATTTCTCTGCAGCCAGAGCGTTGTAAGGTGACAAGGGGAAGGAAATGGCTCTGGGGCCTGTAGTCCTGGCCACATACTCTGGCACATTTCTACATGAGGGTATGGGAAACAGGTCTAGCACATGAGAAGATACCTTGTTTCCTACTAGCCATTGATCCTTGCAAGCATCTCCTTTGGGGATTTTGTTAGACGTTTGTGGTTGAGTGCAGAAATCCATCATTTCCAGGCTCCCTAATCATAGCATCATCTTAATGGCATCAAATCTCCACCACCATTTCTAATATCGTCACTGCTAATGCCTCTTTTACCCCATAACATTGTTCATTCATTCACTCATATCTGCTTATGTGTGAGGCATGGTTCTATATTGGGAACAAAATGCCCTCAAGGAGCCTACAAACTAATCCAGGAGTCCCAGAGTCTTTTCCTGATAAACAGTTTTGAATTCTCCCGAAATATTAATGCTAAAAAACATTTATGATAAATAAATCTAACTTGTATGAAAGGCCAGGCACCACATACCATCAGTCAGTTTTTTCCGGTTGATGTATACCTGTTACGGCACATGCCATACAGCCATTCAGGAGGAAGAAAACAAAGGAGGTAGCAGAGAATAAACAGAAATGGTGAAAGAAAAAAAAATGTACGATGAAAAGGTGAGTGAGCAGGCCCATCGCATTCACACAGACACGCGACCCTCCCTCCCGCCGGGTGAGGCTGGCTGCAGTGCTCCAGTCTTACTGTCCATGACTCTGCTTTGGCCTCATGGGCAGCCAGGTCCCTGCTCACGATTAACCAATAGCTTGGGATTCAAAAGTTCAATATATTCTTGCTTTTGGAAGATGATTTTTTCTTCCTCTGCAAGTCTACTGATTTTCTCATTCACAGCAACGTATGCCGTTCTCCATCCCTCCCAGGGTCTCAGATAATGGAATCATAAATTTACAAAATTTGTCATTTCCACCTAACTAGTTATTCTTTGCTGGTCAATTAAATCCAGACAGGCAGATCCTATCATATCTTCTTTAATCTTTTGAAAGATATTGTCAGCAAGTCAGGAATTTACTCATGTGCGGCTTTACATGAAATGAAGCTTCCAAAATTTGTCCAATTCTGCTCTATTTTGCCTTTGAGCTACTTCTAAAATCTAAACTAGGGAATATTTGTTTGTGCTGTTGTAAGTTTACAAATTATCTCAAATGATGTGATAGTCACAGCAACTCTCATAGGGATTTTTATTATGCCAATCTTACAGATGAAAAAAAACACTGAGACTCAGGAAAGATAAGTGACTTGTACAATGTTACACAGATAGGTCAAGGTAGAGCCAGAACTTGAAGGTCTAAGTTCCTTGCTTATTTCACCGCTCCTTATCTGCCCATGCAGAATATTACCAAAGTCTACGCCTGCTGTCTCACATCCTCAGCAAAATCACACACAGCTTATTTAAAGCTGTCCCACGCAGCACTGGTTACGCTGCCTTCGAGTGCCATTATCCGCTCCCAAATCCGGAGGGCCACCTGCACAAACTGCGCTGGACAACTGCTCTCAGCCAAGGCCTCCTGTGGAGCCCCGAGTTGTTCCGAACTCATTTACTCGGTTGTGCCCTCTTCCTAACATTTGACTTTGCGCTCTAGTAATCAGTCTTAACCCTCATATTGCCACTGACAAAAGTTACACGATAGTGCTCGAGGTCCCACAAAGAAACAAAGGAAAACTACCATATTGGAGGTTTAAAGATACATTTTACAGCGGCCTAAACACCTTGAAGGAAATGGCTAAGGAAAAGAGAATACCGGATAATTGGAAGCTAGTGGAAGTTATTTGACACGGAGAGTATCGTAATCATTATCTGGGAGTACTGACTAGTAGTGTATGATTTCAATCTATTTAAAATAATATTAATACAGTTTCATGAAGACTGTGCTAGAAATGACGAAAAGCACTGGTTCTACTTCTAGGAAAGAATCCTCCAGCATCCATTTCCAAACCCCAACGAGGGGTAAGTGATTCTCTCATGCATCTTTACCCTCAGGTTTGTGAATCCCTACAGAGTATTAATCTTCCATTTCTGTAATAGGTCAGTTCCTTCTGAACAAAGCCTACTATCTCATTTCCACAGACCAGGTCTGAATCCTATTCATAAGTTTGATATTTTAATTAGGGGATAATTTTTAATGATATTCTCTATTTCCACTGTATTTGTATACATTTTCTATCTTCTGGAACCAATTTATTAAAATTGTCTAGAAAACTATTCTAGTTAAAATAAGAAACACTACTACTTACCCATTTGTTGAGGAATGACATATAAATTACTCAGCACAACGCCCAACACATCTTAATGCTGAATATTTGCTTTAATAACCTAAAGTACAGTCCTGCATCCTGCAATTGATACCATCCTGCAACTGATACCTTTCAGATGCTCAAATAAAGACACTAGTAGCCTCAACCACCTATTATTTGCATCTAGCACAAAGCCTGTTACTAAGTAGGTGATCCATGCTGAATACCATGCCCCCACAAGTAAGGATTCAGATCAATAGAAAACACAATTACTATCACAGATAATACATTCTTTGGGCCCCTTCACCACCTTGACACAGGCATCATAGTTTCAGAATCTTATTAACAATGGGATAAGCTAGGAAAAATTAAGAAAGTTACAACTTTAAGAGTTCATCTGTATAAATTGATAAATACGCAAAGGCTCAAATGTTCTCTACTTCACAATTCAAGTCCATTTCTAAACTTGAGTTTTCCCAGTAGTTTGAAAAATCACTTTGAAAATGTCACTCGCATTTACAGTATCACATCCCAGCTCTTACCCGTATGCATATACAACTGCATGAGTGCGTTCGTAAAATGTTTTTACTATAAATGTCCTTTTAAGGACATCTGAAAATGATAAAAGAACTAAAATCATGAGACTCAAAATTTACCTTTAGTTCACTTAACTCTTCTGCTCCATTGATTCTTTATCCATCAAATGAATATAATTTACTCCAATACCATCATCAGTTTCATCAAAGTGGAGGGAAAAATTGGCAGCACTCCGAAAACATTTTTTTAATTCCGTCCAAACATATAATCATTAAAATCTTCATACTCCCCTTGTGCATGATAAATTGTCAAGTAAGACTCAATAACGTAACATTAATTCAAATGACTTCAATTTTTTCTGTAATCTTCAGAAGGTGGGAGAACTATCATGTAGAGTATCTCACCACCCCCCTCCCTACCATTCATAATCATTCAAGAAAAAGTGTGATCTAGGAAATGGGTTAGTAGACTATAGGTGGTATTATTATGTATAATTGGTTAAAGCACCATGCTAATAAAGTCAGGGTCCTAGGATTAATCTCTGCAAAAGCCAGTAAGTTTCTATTTGTCCCAAGGACCCAAACTGCACTCCTAGCTGCAGACAGCTTTCTTACAATGTGTCCCACTGGTCACAAAATAGGGAGGGGGGGACTGGCAAGGAGGTAAATGGATGAAAACAAATCTTCATTAACGGGAAAAAAAAAAAAAAAATTCCATGTATGATGATAATTGAATCGTATCTACAAAGAAAAAAAATCATATATGTTCTTATGCCCTTATTCTTGGCTCTATGTTAAGTTTATCTCAAGTCTAAAATACTGGGTGACTAACACCTTAGAACTGCCTAATAAATAATGTTCTACACAAAGCTACAGTAAAGGCCCTGCTGTTACCCAATTTGTGTAACAAACTGTTCATTCCATATAGACATCCTTTTTCTCTTTTTAATATTGATCTTTCCACAGTTTTAAAATATTTTCCATTAGTTATTTGGTTCAGAATATTGTGAAAAATTCAGCTAGGAAATTATTCATAAAACTGTATTCTGATTTTATTTTTCAAACAGCCAGTGTCCACATTTAAAATGCAGAATTTGCAAATATAAATTATCTAATAATTCAATTAAAAATAAAACAAAAACAACTTCCTTTAGTATCATAATACATAAAATGGTATTATAAACTCCAAATGGCAAGGTTAACTACATGACAATGCCAGAAGCTGTGAAACTCATTAAACCTCTAAACGAATAGGTCAGTTTAAAGAACATTTCTGTGTTCCATGATTATGCATGAAACAAACTTTCATTGTATTATAAAGGCTCAGCAATTCATTCAGCATAACATGGGGTCAAGCAAAATTTTATTTTTACAATGACAATAAAAAACGCATTTAAACAACAACAAAAAATCCTCCCAATTGTTTAAAAACAATTCTGTTTGGAGGGTAAAATGTATTTTAAAATATACTGACTTACTGAATTTCAATTGCCAGGCTGCTGACTACCAATGTGAAAGTTTGTATTTAAAAATATCACAAATATCTTTTCATTTGACAGTGAAAATTTCAATGTGATAAGTTTCATTGCAAAGCAATTTTCACCTGAGTACTTTGAAATTTAGTGCTCATATATTTGAAGGGGAGGTGGGGAAGGAAAAGACCCACTTGTGTCAGATACTGAGTTTGTAGTTCTTTCACACTGATTTCCCAGAGGGCTGAAGAAACATCGGCTATGACCTTTCAGGACATACATGATGCTCCCCTTTTTCCTATAAATTTGTTCTGGCATTTCATAAATTCCCAGTATCCATATTTCCACTTAGTTACCCACTCAAGCATAGCAACCCAATTCATTCAATTCTATACAACAGTGTCTATATTATGTACATGTTTAATTATCAATAGGAAATAGAAAATAAAATTTACAGTGATTGAGAAAGGGTCAGAAAATGGGATAGGAAAAGTAATACTGTATATTCAGAATATCCTATTATCCTACCAGTTTCAATGACAAGGTTTTTCCTTTATTAGTTGAAATACAAAGAAGGCATAGGGGATCCCAGGAAAATAACACTATGTATCAGAAAATTCAACGTGCTCCACCATCAGGATTTCCATTACACATTTAATTTCTTCTGTACAATTTTTAGAAACTTGTTTTTCTTTTCAAAATCATCAGATTTCCAGGTTAAATTCAGCACTACACAGTATGCCCTTGAAGTAAGATGAGGTTACCTGCTTTATTTGGATAACAAGTTCCCTTCCAGACAGCATTAAAATAAAGACAAGTAAGACTACACAGATAAAATCCAGTATAATTCAAATCCAACAATGAAAAATTTCCCCCTTATTGTTGCAAAATTCTTTCTACTGAAATGCTCTGCTACAATAATAAAAAGCATACATTACATATAAAAGATACCAGTGTACTAAAAAGTGACAGAAGTGGACTAGCAAATCCTTCAAAGCACATTATATAAATGACTAGCATTTAAAAACATTTTTCCTATAAAATGTAGGTCATATACATTTATAAATTGGCGGTTTTATTTCTAAAGCAGTGATGTGTGTGTTCAAATAGTTAGCTGTTCTGTACAGTATAATATCTACTCAAATCAAACTACAATAGGTTTGTCTTTCTTTGTATTGAAGTTGAATAAATTCATCTGATCAGCTGAGAAATCAAGGTTGAAAAATAAGTATCTAAAAATCAAAGTAGAAAGTTTAGAATTATTGAAATGTAGCTATGAAATATGAAGAGAACTATTTCACAATGGAGCTGAAGTCACCTCAAAACTTATGGGCTTGAATCTAAAACAGAAACAAATATTAAAATCCAAAGCAGACCACAAAGTTAGGTAGCAGTACAGAAGCAGGCAAAAAAACACACCCCCTTCCTTCAGTGTGATGGGCACTAAGTTTTGCAGTCTTCCTCCATCTTGCAGAAGGGTGGTAAGGCCATTCAATGCTTAGTGAAAGTGAGTACAGATGAAGGCAGATTTAGCCTGTCTCCCCTGCAACTTCAATTATGCTGTGTAAACAGTGTTACGTTCCAATAGGAGGAACAATGGAATTTGCTTATAAAAACTGATTAAAGATAATCATTATTAAATGAAATAAAGACAATTAATAACTCTGAAATGTTTTTAGAACTTTCCTGATGCTACTTGTAAAGTTAGCACTGCTATGTATTATTGCTTACATACAGTACAACATCATATGCCTTCTAACATAAAGCAGTACTGTGATTTGTTTGTACATATTTACAGATTCTTAAAAACAAGCTGTAAAAACATTACATACTTTCAGACAATACAAATTAGCACATTGGTACTCACTTCAAAACAAATGGAATGCATAACATTAATAAACATCATAAAGGAAGACTCACATAAAAGTCCTTGATTGTCAAGACACGTTTATATATAAACTCTAACTGTGCAGAATTAAAGATTCAATCATAGGTACATCCTTATTTGATGAACCATATTTACAGCATGGTATTGCATAAAAAAATAAAATAATGTTTACAGGGTTTTACTTTTTTATCCATTGGATTAAAGAAAGCAACAAACACAACAAGAAATGTTTGTCTGCTTTAGTTTCCTACCAAAGTTTAAGTGAAAAAGGAAACATGTTTTTTTATTTGCAGAATATAGCAAAAACAACTGGAAAATTATTTCCCTGAAATAAAGCAATTTGAAACGGAAAATGTTTAAATTAAATTGCAGAGTCAAAAAGTTTCTCATTGATTATAATAGTGCTTCTTCAAGTAAATATACTGTGAAAAAACGAGTTCTAGTTTAAAATGTTCTAAGTCTAAGAAATGTAGTTTTACAGTAATGCCTACTTTTAAGTTTCCCGGCTTTTTTTTTTTTTTTTTTAACAGCCCTTTAAAAACCCAAATTAATAAAATGAAAGAAGTGGCAAAAGATCTAACCTAGCTGGCACTTTGCAAGTTTCTCTGGCCTGCGGAAATGAAAGCCTACCCTGAGCACAAGGCCTCTTTTGCCTCTCAAAACGAGAAAAATTACCCAACCATGGACAGTCCTCACTCAGCCAGAGCTAAAAGGATGGATTTCTATGGTATCAACTAGAAAATCTGCAAGTAGATCCAAAAAGTTTAAGAGCCACTTCAAATATTCTGAACCAAATGAAATATGTGTGCAATAAATTTTTTTAAAAAAAAAACACGCTTTTAGAAGATGTTCAAGAGATATTACTTCAACTAATGTGATCTGTTTCCAATCTTCAAACATGAGAACAGGTCCTAAGAAAGCACACCTCACTCACACTTTGCCAAGTTTAAGGGTGTAAGAGTATGTTTTCATAGAACAATTTGCTCACCAAGAGAAATGAAAAAAAAATTGCAAAAGGATATCCTCAATATTCTGATTTAAAGCAGCACAAAAGGCTACTTGCTTTCTCTATTAATGCCCAGATAGAAATTAAGTAACTTTCTGAACCAAAGTGGGGAAACCCAAACTGCTGAGATGTTTATCATATGATAATACAAGGTAACTCTGGTAGGCATGTAGAATTTCACAGTAAGAGAGCAATGACTATACTTAAAAAGTGGTAAGTCAGTAAATTATGCCAAAGTATCATTTATCTCAAAATATGCTTATAATGTGGTAGAAAAGTCTGCCATTATGTAGATGTAAAGAAATGTGGTGAACACAGGAATGCAACACCTGAACTGCTTGCATGACTGCCACTTTCAAAGGCCTTCCCTCCTTGACTTACTGCTCAGCAGTAGAGCCACACTCTAAAAACTGTGCTGGTGATGTTAACACAAACAAAAAACCTTATTCTGTACCAAGTTCTCAACAGAACAGAAATTCTAACCAGGCTCAAAACAAAAACAAAAAAACAAAATAAATGCCTACCATCATCCAACAGTAGTATGAGAAAAACAAAAATGCCTATACCTAGGGAGAGCACAGTTCCATTGTTAACATCTCGCCTGAATGAAGCCTTCTTGAGGTTGTAATGTGCAACGCAAGACACACCATTCTTAAGAGTCAATAATGGCAGAACTTCAATATCTACTTCAAAGAAGTCTAAAATTCTTGAAAAATTTGGCAGCAAAGAAAGCTGTCAAATGGGAAAATATTTCAAGCAAAGTTTAACAACCAAAGTGTAGAGGAAACCCATATTAAACATAATTTATATTCCTTATCATAAAAACACCATATATTCAAAATAAATGCAAAAGATGTTAAGGGTAGATATTTCTTTGTTCCCTTCCTTTATGAGAACAGTCTTGGGATAACATTAAATAAAAGAAAAAAATAATTTAAATGTATAACATTCTATACTGAAACAAAGACTGCAGATCTATAAGGCCAATACAAAAGTTAAAATGGAAATTAACATAAAGTTGCATCTTCCAAGGGTTTTAATTTTAGATTATCACTGGTGCTGTATCAGTACGTGTGCATTGTGACAAAGATAGTGGAAATTTGAAATAAAAAACCAAAAAGTTGGAAGAAATTAAACAGGATAATAAAATCAATATAACTAATGTTACTTTCCAAAAATTAAAACTGTCCAATGTGTAACTCAAACCATCATTCTTTAGAAAAGTATATATATAATATGTATATATATAAAAGCACTATTTATTGTACCATGCTGTATTATTTTAAGACAAAGAATTAAAAAAAAAAAACATTCGTGGTATAAGGATAAAGTCTGTAGTTTATTTAGATTTTGAAATGCAACAAAAAGTTTCCGATCACTCATCTAGCTGAAAAAGAAACTGTAGTTACTAGAATTAGTAAACACTCTTGGTTTGTAAAATTGTAATGAGCAGTGTTCATTAAAAAGTAACTCAAGATAAAATAAGCAATTAAAATGCCCATTTCTTTAGTTTCTCTGGATACTGTTTAATTATCCAATCTATCAAGATTCTAGAAAGAGAAGGATTAAACCAGGTTTTACAGTTCCAAAGATATCCAATTTCCTTTTATTGCCAAAAATTAAAATTTTCAATTATGAGATGATTATGACACAACCATATCAAACCTAAAAATCTAAATTTTTTTTTTTTACTTTGAGAAATCAAAAATACCAAATAGATTCTAAGTGCTCTATGTTAACTGAAGTGTATATGTATGTAAAGTAAAATACAATTAAGCTTTAAAATGTGGAATATACATTTTGTATAAGCATTATGTTCTTGGGAATGTAATCTACAGAATATCTTTTTACTAAAACTTCAAAACCTTGATACTTGCACATGAAAAATCATAAAAAATATCTAGGTACAACTGTACAAAGAAACTGACACCAATATGCATACTTCCATACAGAAGTGAATGCTTCAACAGTTATGTATTTTGGTAAAAGTTTTGAAAGTATGCATATTTTTAAAGTAATTAGGCTTTTAAATAGTGGAGTCTTAGACTATCAGATTTTTATTACTTTTTTCTCAAAAAAAAAAAACATGTCAATATAATGCAAAATGAAAATCAAGGGTATATGGCATATCATTCTTTTTAAAAGGTGGTTTCCTTTTTTCCCCCTATAGGACACACTAATTTATTTAAGCCATAATCTCTTGACATTTAAACTTTTAAGTTCACTCTGTCTATACTCAGATTCCCTGCTGAAGTGCCATGACTATGCTGAAAAACTTAGAAACAGTATGAGTAAATTTCACACAATTACTAATCTCCTAAAAATGTACAATATTATCAGTTAGGAAACAATTGTGCGAAAGTCTTTTTTTTTCCTTTTAAACTTGGTGTAGGTGGAATAGCAAGTTTCTGATCTAAAACAAGTAATGCATTGCTTCTATAAAGGTGACAACATGTAAGGCAGTTCAAAGAATGCTGACTAACCAAACAAAATGCAGTTATTGGATTATCTTGCTATTCATATCAGCTTAACTTGTTTTAACGCATTGCTCTTAAATCTGTACAGCACTCCATTTTACACAGAGTAACCCCACTCTTGATTAATCTGTTCTAAAGTGCCAGTATTATTTACACATTTTTTTTAGCCAAAAGTCTGGCCAGTTGTGGCATCAGGTGAGGATGTCATCCCAGCTCTATTATCATTTACATTCACCAAGGGAAATTCTGGAAATTCAGCACTTGTCCCTGGTCCCCGAAGGTTCACCTGTCCATTGGCAGTGCTAAACTGAGTAGCTATTCCAGCTCTGGATCCATGATATGGAGCACGGAAGGGTTGTTCAAAAGAGCTCATTTGGTAAGCTTGGTGGACAGGCTGAGCCTCAGCTTTCTTCTGAGAAGTCACTTGATCCAAAAAGTCCTGTGTTGATGTGGCAGAAGCATGGTTTGTCTCATCACCTGAAAAGGGAAATGAGTGCTGTGAATCACCAACTATTAGTCCAAAGTGGGACTTATCTGGAGTTGTTCTTAGTGGAGAATTCATTCCTGATCGAAAGCTATTGATGGGCATGGCTGCATAGACTTGCTTGTCTATGGAAGAGAATGCTGGCTGATTTGGAAGGGTCTGGTTATCGGTCACAAAGTTAAGGCTCGGGCTATTCAAATAGGCATCATTTTGGCTAGTTCTGTCCAAAGCCTGCTGCAGAAACTTTGAGTATTCCTGCAACATGTTGGCTTTATCTGATGAGGATGCTTGGGAGCTTGATCCAACATTCTCCGACTGAGTAACCTCAGGTACTTCGGAAGAATTTATTGATATGCTAGAAGTCACCTCAGTGTCCGCAACACTGAATGATATCTCATGTTGTCCATTAGCTTTATGAGAATAATGATCCAACAGAGTCTGCAGTACCTCATCTGGAATAACATTTTTGTCATGATTACTTTTTATCTCCACATTCAGTGCCTGTGAATCTAATATGGATGCTGTGGTACTCTCATCAATGACACTTGCCACAGCTGCCTGTGTTACAGAAGGCTGAGAAGCTATGGTACCCACATTCAGCGCATACTCCCTACTATTGTTACTTGCTGCCTGAAGATATCGCTTCTTCTTCAAAAACTGCATGGCATCATCATAATTAGTGCTACTGTGCACAGGTTTACTAGGCCCCTCTTGCAAATTGTCAACCTGGTCAATGTCAGCATTGCCTTCTGAGTCCAGTAAAGCTTGTTTGTCCACAAGTTCAAAAGCATACTTTGAAACTTTGCTCTCTTCATATGTGGATAAAGGCGAAATTGTTTGATTTTGCTCCAATGGCTGTTTCAGACTTCTCTTACTATTAATTTTTTTGAGAACCAACTTAGGTGGATGTATTTCTCCTGATGCATCTTCTAAATGCGATCCCCCAACTGAAGAATGTGGCATTTCAACAGCATACTCTGCCACCATATACTCATCTTTTACTTTAGTACTTGAAGAGTAAAGAGGCAAGTAATCATTTTTGTCTTTCTTCAGGTCAGATTTGTCCAAAGAACTCTCTTTGTCCATCCCAGATGATTTTTTCTCAGTTTTCTGCCTCTTCTTTTTTGGCAGTGAGTTATCTTTTGGTGATGTAGAAAAGCCAGAATCTTCCTCAGATGTCAGAAGGCCACCTTTGATGGCACATCTGTTTAGTTTTTTGTCATGATTTTCATGGCACATACGTTTATGTTTCAGTACACGATCTGTTCTGGAAAAATACTGTCGAATTCAAAGTTCGGAAGTGAGTTTTTTGTTTTAGTTTGTATTTTGGTCAACCAAGAAAAGAAAAGAAAAAACGGAATTAATATAAAGATAGATATAAGTATAATAATATGAGCAACTCCAAACTAATTTGCTGAGCCAACTGTTTATTACAAATTGAATCAACAGCAGTTAGGAAGTTCTTCTAATAGTTTTAGTAGTAACATTTTCTAATTTAACTTATTAGAATTGTTTATAATTTAATTTCAGATAGAAGAGTTTCAATGTCACTCATACCACAATAAAATGATTTTTAAAAAATATTCAAGCCACATCTTACCTGTAAACAGTATTCACACTGGTAGGGTTTTTCTCCACTATGAGTTCTCTTATGCCTTTCCATATGATATTTTTGAATGAATCTCATACCACATTCATCACAGCGAAATGGTTTTTCACCTAGCACATGATACAGAAAGTTTAAAACAAAACAAATACTGTAAAATAATGAATTACTTCACCACAAGAGCCTCTAAATAAATGGCTTTTGAACGTTGCCATACTTTGTTCTTTTTAAATGACCAAAGTCTCCCTTATACTAAACATATCTTCCAGTTTAATTTGTCAAGAATATCTTGCTTTGTAAAAATGGAAGAGACTGGTACACGCCATTGGAAAGAAAAGGTTGAAAGCAGGCATATTCAATTTCCTTTTTACTGTATGTGTACATAATATACTCCTTCCATAGGGACCGGTATTATTACCAGGACCTTAACAGTAATATGAACAGGGTTTCAGTAGAGTGGCTGATGTTTCTAATCCTTTTTTCAATCATACAAAAAGTATTTCAGAAAAATTTTTGAAAAAACAAAATGTTACCCATACATAGTCCAACACAATTCTTGGATATACCTTTTTAATTCTTCATGTCTTTTCAAAGATATTTGTGGTTAAATGAAATTTGAATCCTAGGAAAATATTTTTTAAATCTAATTTATTAAAACATAAGAAGAGGGCTTCCCTGGTGGCACAGTGGTTGAGAGTCCGCCTGCCGATGCAGGAGACACGGGTTTGTGCCCCGGGCCGGGAAGATCCCACATGCCGCGGAGCGGCTGGGCCCGTGAGCCATGGCCGCTGAGCCTGCGCGTCCGGAGCCTGTGCTCCGCAACGGGAGAGGCCACAGCAGTGAGAGGCCCGAGTACCGAAAAAACAAACAAACAAAAAACATAAGAAGAGCTTAAATTAGAGACTAAGTTTTAAAAGTAATGTTTGTTTATACTGATTCTCTTTTCCTCGACTCAAACCAGCATTTCTCATGTCCTTTCGGGAGCGAATTAAATTGAGGGCTGTTAACTGGGCACATGACCCCCACACCACCCCCAGTTTTTTTTTTTTTTTAAATCACATAAGGACTTCTCAGCTTTAACGAACCACAACTAAGAAGATCTAAAATAGCTTTTAATGATAAAGCCACAGCCTAAGTAAATAGAAGGGTGTGACAAGAAGTTATCTTAAATAATGCTTGTTTGGGAAACCACTGTTTCTACCTTTCATACAGTCAGCAAAACTTTACTAATACTTCTCCTCTACCCATAAAAATATAAGACATGTTACTTGTCCTCGAAGAGTTTATGACATAATTGGGAAAACAAGAAAGAAACAACTAACAGAACTATATCCAGCTCTGGTTTACCTTTATAACTTTATAACCCACTAGTTATCTTCTTAACATTTTTCTCCAGCTAAATCAAAGAACCTACCATCTCATGCTTTCCTACTTCTGCCTTGATTCACGCAGCTCCCTCAGTCCACCTCTGTGTGTTCAGGTACTACACTCCCCTCAAGGCCCAGCCCATCTCCTCTGGGATACTTTGCCCTATTCCCCTAGAGGAAAGGCATCTTTATCTTCTTTAACTTTCCAGAGAACTTCAGCTGTACCTCTCCAATGGCACTCATTACTTTCATTCCAATAATTATTTTGTACGAATCTATTCTTTTAACTAAATTACATTCCTTTAGGTCAGAATCTGGGCCTAAATTATCTTTATGTAGCTCAAAACACTTCGGGCAACTTTTAAGGGCCACATGAATGGCATAAAGGATTATTACAGTGGATTATAATTGGAAAAAATGTTATTATGAGCTGGTATGATCTGGGAAAGCTTCTTGTGTTAGAATCTAAGCTGAGTAGCCCTTTAAGGGATTGTGTGTATGAGATTAAAGCCAAGGAAAGAAAATTTAGTGAGGAATAACAGAGCAACTAAGGGTTGAGATACTATAAAATATACTGGAGAACTGGTACCTAAAAAGACAATTTAATTTGGCAACAAATAAATTATTTGAAACTTTCAAGAACTGCAACTTCTGTAATTGCTATGGAGTTATCAAATTTTAGGGCCGAAGGGACTTTGAAATGGCTTCAAACTATGCTCTTGGGGGCTCCACAGAGGCCTGCAAAGGATCATCCTGGTGTGGCAAATGGCTCTAAGGTTGCCACCCAAAATTCAGGACAGAACAGCTCCACTTCTGTACCCAGGGAGTCTGAGTAAGGACTCCAGAGTTCAAAGGCTAAAATGGAGACCTAATACAACTAATCTCGACCAATTTACTTATTTTTACAAAAAAGAAAGTCCAGAAAAATTAAGGTACTTGTCCAAGGGGTTAGTAAGTGGATAACTAATGAAGCAACAAAAGCTGGAAGAGAAGACCACTTATTTAGGAAGTTTGAAAGTGAAAGAAATGAGAAAAAGGAGGTGAGAAGTAATAGGAGGCAATCCATTCGAGATTAAGGACTGGTAAGGGTGGGAAACTGAACTAAAATGGAATATTACGGTGAATAATCGAAATAACAAGATCCCAGAAGAACTAGGATGAAAAGGGAAGGAGAGTACAAGTATTATTTTAAAAAGAAGTTTAAGAATAGGTGCATATTTTGAAATAAAGACTGTATATGATAGAGCTCATTAAGATCAGAAGTTAAAGTCATTCTTCAAAAGTGAGAGAGGATAAAAGAGAAAATTAGTGAACTTATTAGAATTCAATTAATTCTACATGATATTCATGAACTGGAAGACTTTAATGTTAAAAATGATAATACACCCCACATTGGTCAAAGCAGAAGCTGACAACCTGATCCTAAAATTCATATGGAAATGCGAGGGATCCATAACAGCTAAAGCAATCTTGAAAAAGAAGTACTAAGTAGGCAGACTCAGACTTCCCAACTTCAAAACTTACAATCAAGCTACAGTAGTAAGATAGTGTGGTAATGGCATAAGGATAGACGTACATATCGAGGAATAGAATTGAGAGTCTAGAAATAAACCTTTACATAATTTATAGTCGACTGACTTCAGTGGGGAAAAAATAGTCTTTTCAACAATGACACTGGGACAATTTGATACCGATATGCAAAAGAATGGGGTTGGACCCCAACCTCACACTGTATACAAAAATTAACTCAAAATGGATCATAGGCCTAAATGTGGGAACTAAAACTGTAAAACTCTTGGAAGAAAATATAGGAATAAATCTTGACTTTGGGTTAGGCAATGATTTCTTAGATACAACACCAAAGGCACAAGCAAACAAACAAAAAATAAATAAAATATACCTCATCAAAATTAAAAACTTTTGTGCTTCAAAGGACACTATCAAGACAGTAAAAAGACAAAATGCTGTAGCAGCTGCTGTGGGAAATAGTTTGGCAATTCCTCAAAATGTTAAACTTAGAATTACCATACAAGCCAACTGTTCTACTCCTAGGTATATACCCTAAAGAACTGCAAACAGGGATTCACTCAGAGATTCGTATACCAATGCTCACCACAGCATAATTCACAACAACCAAAATATGGAAGCAACCCAAGTGTTGAATGGATAAACAAAATGTGATATATACAGACAATGGAATATTTTTCAGCCATAAAAAGGAATGAAATTCTGATATATGATACAACATGGATGAACCTTGAATAAATTATGCTAAGTGAAAGAAAACAGGCACAAAAAGGACAAATACTTCGTGATTCCATTTATATGAAATACCTAGAGTAGGCAAATTCACAGGGATAGAAAGTAGAATAAAGGTTACCAGGGACTGGCAGAGGAAGGAAAAGGGAGTTACTGCTTAATGGTTACAGGTTTTTGTTTGTGTATAATTTTGTTACACAATGTTATAAAGGTACTTCACTACACTACATTGTATGCTTGAAAATGATTAAATGATAAACTTCAAGTTACGGTTTTTTTTTAAAAAGGTGAAAAGACAATCCATGGAATGGGAAAAAATATTTGCAAATCATATGTCTGATAAGGGATGTATATTCAGTATGCTAAAAAAAACTCTTACAACTCAACAATAAAAAGACAAGCTAATTTAATAACAGGTAATGGATCTGAATGAACATTTCTCCAAAGAATATATACAAATAGCCAATAAGTACATGAAAAGATGCTCAACATCACTACTCATTAGGGAAATGCAAATGAGTATCATGAGAAACCACTTCACACCCAATAGGACAGTTAAAACAGAAAGGACAGTAAGAAGGGGTTAGCATGGATGCAGAGAAACTGGAACCCTCACACTTGGGTGGTAGGATTGTAAAGTGGTACAGCTGCTTTGGAAAACAATTTTGCAGATCCTTAAAATGTTAAACGTAAGAGTTAACCATATGACTCAGCAATTCCACTCCAAAGCATATACCCAAGAGTACTGAAAACGTTATTTCCACACAAAAACAAATATTCCTAACAGCATTATTCATAATAGCCAAAAAGTAAAAACAACTCAAATGTCCCTGAACTAATGAATGAATAAACAAAATATGGTATTTTCACACATGGAATATTATTTAGCTATAAAAAGTAATAGAAGTACATGCTACATACAACATGAATGAACCTTTAAAACATTATGCTAAGTGAAAGGAACTAGACAAAAAAGACCACCTACTGTATGATTCCATTCATAAGAAATGTCCAGAACAGGGAAATCCATAGAGACAGAAAGGAGAGTAAAGATTGCCTAGTGCTGGGAGGAAGGGGTGCAGGATTTCAGAATGGTGAAAGTTATTCTAAAAATTAGACTGTGGTGATAGGTGTGCAACTCTGTGAATATACCATAAACTACTGAATTGTACACTTTAAAGGGGTGGGTTCTTTGATATTGTCAATTACATCTCAATAAAATTGCAACTTTAATACTGCATGATAACACAACTGACACCACGCAAAGTGAATGAGAAATGATTTCTTCCCACAAGGAGCTAGCAATTAAGTTCAAAATAAATTAAATGGAGAAGAATCGTGCTTAAATTATTTGCTACATATTAGTAGAAGATCAAGAATTAAAAGCTTATTTAACCAGAAACAACATTAAGAAATTTACTTTAAAAAAAAAAAAGAAATTTACTTTAACAAACATTAATGCCTTAAAAGCAATTTGTAAAAATGTT